GTAGAAAATGGCCCCCACCAGCCTTGAAAGACCATACACACACACACACACACTTTAAAAAAGTTGATCTCTACTTTAGAGTGTATTGAGAAATACATGGAGAGAAATTAAAGCTTGCATCTCCCATAAACATCCAATCAGACCACAACATACAGGGATTAAACACCCCCGTAGAGGCTGCCGGCTTCCTAGAGGCTTAGTACTGCAACCCTAACTGGGCCAGAAGAAACCCCCTCCAAATAGCCCATCTGAGCCCACTTCAGCAGTCTCTGAACCAAAATGACCCAGCCTGATCCTCTCTCCCTAAACTATATAAATCATCTTGATTTAGCTTCTCTCCAAGGGAATGCCCATATCACAGCCTAAACTGTTCACCCTCCTCTGGAAGGTCAATAGGAGGCTGCCCAGGGGCTTCCAGGTGCTCAGCTCTTCTGACAGCCAGGTCTTTTACTGAGGCATGTAAGTCAGAATGCACGAGGCAGCAATCCTTCCGACCTTGGTCTTAAGCATTTGGTTTCAAATATTTAGCTTTTGGCTTGAATAATTAAGAGGTTACAAATAAATAATTCTGTTTGATTTCCACGGCAGGTGGATGTGAGGCTAGTTACATCTCTGTGCTGCTGCCTACAGAAACTAGCACACCTTTAACCAGGCTAACCCAATGAAGCACACAGGCTCAGGCTGACCTTTAAACTTTGGGTTAGAAAATTACTTCCAACTGCATTCTCTCAAACCTAAAACTTGCCTGTTTCAGTTTGTTCCCTGAGGCTGAGACTGCCTACACATTTTATTGCCTTCATACCTACCTACATTTTAAATAAATATCACAAAAGGATATACAGTTAGCCAAGTTCACTCTTGCAACTGCTGCTACAGGGTTATACCAGGAATGTGACAGGGTTATACCAGGAATGTGTTTTTCTCTATACACTGCATGTGCTGTGGCCAAGGCTTTATATGAGAAAGATTTAGGAAAGGTTTGGTGGCTCCCTGAGGTTTTCCCTCCTCCCCTGCTGCTCACCTGTAGAATTCTCTGCAGGATTGAGGGAAGGGCAATAAAAGCAGCCATGTTGTTGAGCACCTGCATGGTCAAAATCTTCAGATCTGCAAGATCAAAACGTGGAAGTCATCTACAACCAGTCAGAACTGGAAGGTTAGGAAAAGCCGTCACTGTAAAAGTTTACAAGGTCTTTTTTTTCCTGCTTTCAAAAAACTTTACAAGTAAATATTTTAGATAACCAGCAAATTATGCAGTAAGTGCACAGTTCTTTCCATCTGAAAGTAAATGCAGTGTTCAGGTAAGCTTTCAAGCTTATGATTTCCACTCTCTACCCCCTTATTAAATGGCCAGACCTTCTACAGCCTTCTTAGAAATCTTACTTGGTGATGCATTGCTATTCAGTTTCCTCTCTGCCCGCAAACATAAACAGCCCCCCAATGACTTTGAAACATCATGTTTCCACTGGGATAAAATCACATATTCCTTATTTTGGGGTGCCCAAACCTAAACAAGACCTGTTTTTTAATAAGTGAAGGACCCCTGAAAAAGCCTGCCACCTCTGGAGGGACAAGGGGAGAGGAAAAATGCAGGGAAACAGCCTGCAGGGCATGTGATAATGACTGTCGCCTCTTTTCAGCAATTCTGAGATGCTTGGTTTTCCCTTTGCATCATTAAGGGCCTTGACCCGAGATAAGGAAGCTCTAGAGGAAGTAAAACAAGACAAGGATTCATTTCAATTGGCAGACAAGTCATGGCCAAACTCTTCAATGGGTGGGTCAAACATACAAAAAAAAGCTCAAGAGGCCAACTGACATTTCAGGCATGGCCCTCTTTGTACCCGAAATGTACTGCAGCTTGTAGCTCTCTTTCCTAGGATGATGTAAGGAACTGGATAGAAACAGTTGCTCTCTTACTTTCCCCAACCATAATATTTCATGGTCCTTAAGACATATTGGCAGCAGAATGACTGTTTTTGTCTTAACAGGCATCAGTAAATCAAAAAAACACAAACAGTCTTAGGAGACTGTGAATTGGGAGGATAATATTCATTGCATAATTTTGCTCGAGAGAAATGGTGTTTCTTATTTTTCTAGTGCATCAACCCTGTGGTAACCATCTTCCATTTTCAAAATGTCATTCATTTTAATATTGAGCTTGTTTAAATATTTAAATGATCAGAGTCAATAGCTTCCCTTTAGCTAAAACCTGACTGCAATGTCTGTCTCTTACTGTGGCTCTGACAACTAGCTGATCCCTGGAGGAGTATTGTGAGTCTCAGGTAATGCACAGTCAGCCTACGCAGATGACCTGGCAAAAGCCCATCCACCGGCTGCATGACAAGAGATAGAATTAGGGACCTGCTATTGGAGGAAATGGTCACCGGACTGTATTGTAACTGGAGCAGTCAGCATTGCGAGAGGCTGTAGAAACTGACAGGAGAGGGAGAAGGATGAAAGAGCCAAAAGGCAAGGAAGAACAAAGGGATATTCCTAAAGGTCCATGACCTTTCCAAAAGCTTTAGAGCAGAATTAGGAAGGGGCAGGAGACTGGAGCTGTGA